CGCAAACGTTTTTTGTTGTAATGTGGATTTATTTAGAAAAAAAAATATTATGCTTTGTTTTTTACATAATTTTACTACGACACGTGTTTCTGGTCTCAAGACCGTCTTCAGGTAAAAGTGGAGGTTTCTACATATTATTAAAAATAATTAATTTTTTTCTTCATGTTCAATGTGAAATGTTCTCGATATGAGACATTCTCTGTTTGTGTGTTGGCAATCCGAATTTTCTTTCTAGAATATAAAGAATATTCTATTCTAGAATATTCTTTAATATATATATATATATATATATATATATATATATATATATATATAGTCCTGTCTTAAAGTCCTGTCACTCCCTACCAAAAAGTAATGAGAACAATAGAAGAACAAGTAATACAGTAATACAAAACACATGTACTGGATTCAGTTTATTCAATATTATTGACGCTGTCACACATCGAGAAAGTCTGTATAAACATCATTATTTTCATTATTTTCGTGGCACAAAATGATGCGGTGCCTCCTGGGTAATTTTTTACAAAGCTGTGCTTCGTTGATTGTTGCTAAGGCTCTCCGAACGGCGTCCTTCAACTGGTATTGTTCATGTGAAACTCTTTCCTTGATAATGCCCCATAGAACCTTGAAATAGAAAATTATGTTATGTAACGGTGACAAGATTTTCGGACCACCCTGAATAATAATAATAATGATAATAATAATAATAAAATCTTTCACTGGAACAAACTCTTCCACAAACGAAGAGACACTAGGTCACCAAACCCGGATTATTGCCAACCTTCGACCAAGTGACTCAATATCAAATCGACTAATAAAAAAGAAAACGAACGAAATGGTCTTGCGAAGAGTATCGACAAGTCATGACATCCTTCTTCACTACACTCGAAAACCCAGCAAAGAACACCACCAATCAAACATACAAAATATGGAGAAGTATGGTGGGAAATGATATAAGACCTAACCTGTTATGGTCCGGTTCCTTGTACCACGGTGATAGTCCAAGGTAGAACCAATAAAGAAGAACTCGAAGGTGGATATGGAATAACACAGATATCTTACAAACAGGAATATATACAGAGAAGTAGAAGTGTTAGTATGAACAATCAGGTTTATTAGAGAGAACAATGTAGTCTCAACCAGTATCACTAACCCAATGTTTTGCAGTAATTGTCTGAACGCGACTCTGTTTCGAACTGCCTCTGACTCGACTCTTGACACGGCTTGAACTACTGACGATATTCAGTCACCCCCACCCCCACGAGGGCATCATGTGGCACAAGGCCGGTTTAACGTGGGATCTCCGAGCCCGTGGGCTCGGGAAAAAATATGCCCATTGAAGCTGTATAAACGGGTTCAGGGTCGGTTTACCTCCCCGAAAGAGAATCCGCCCTTCGGCGTAGCCTCGTTCGGGTTCCTCCCAGCCCGAAGGCAGAGAGTTCAACCGATCTGTCGTTCAAGACTTGAGCGACTGTCTCCTTGACTACTCCTGAGGCGCAGTATTTATTACGTATGGAATAGTCTATTATTATTATTATGGGTAAGATCCCATAACATAACCTGAATCCAAACATGCTTGCCAATGTTCGTATGACAGACTCTCAAAGACAAATATAGATAGGATAAAATTAGATATAAGACAAAATACTATGACCCATCACTCAAACTGTAATGAGATGAATGTAGAAATAAGGAATGTGACAGAGGATGAGGTAAAAGCTTAAACAAATGAAATACGAAATAATCTCCCAGGAAATAAAATCAAAGACTCTACCTTAAACACAACCTGCAGTTCTCCAAACAATATCACTGAAGATGACTCCAGGGACATTAAGTTAGAATGCCTTGAAAACCACGAAGCTGAAATCACCGAAGCGAAAAATGACGTCATCCAAGTACTCAGCAGAGTAACTTTCATACAATTGTCAGACAGAGACCAGCTCCCCAAAATCCATATGACGAATTCCAACAAGCACATTGTGAAAATATACAACGCTGTTCTGGAAACACTGTTAACAGATAAACCACCGGGAAACATCACAGAAGTTAATAACGTCATATACGCCACAGCTTTAGCAGCGACTCGGAAGCTTGGGGTCAAGACAATAAATAACGTTAACGGACATAGAGAGTCAGCTTGGAAAGCCAAACTCATACGAGAAAAAAACAAATCAGATGTGAGCTTTCTATATTAGATGAGCTCACCAGAAACCCTAATATTTCCACACGCAAGCGGAAATATAAAATTAAATCCCTACTGACATTCCATCAGTCACGGAAATGCTGAAGCAGAAACTTCAGCTAAAGGCACAGAAAACAAGACGATACGAAAAACGTTGTAGGTTCTATCGCCAAAATAAAATATTCCGAACAGATCTTAAGAAATTTTACAGGGAAATTGGAAAAACACCTATACATGTCGAATGGCCACCATCGATTGATAATGTACAGACATTTTGGAAAAATATTTGGAGCAGCCCAAAGGAATATAACCCAAATGCAGAATGGATCCGGCGTGAAGAAGAACGACTGCTGGATACACCTCTGCAAGAATGGGAAAATATATCCACAGATGATGTTAGGCAAGCTCTAACGAAATCCCCAAAATGGAAATCCCCAGGAAATGACAAGGTACCCAATTTCTGGATTTATCATCTCTCATCAATCTTTGCAAAAATATTATCAACGCTTGTAAATAATCCCAATAAAATCCCGGGATGGATTACTGAATGTATTACATACCTCATGCCAAAAGCAAAGGAAACAGACCCGAAAAATTATAGACCGATAACATGTCTCCCCACAACGTATAAGTTGATCACGTCTGTACTGACGAACCGTACTTATTCCTTTTTCGAAACAAACAGCATTCTTCCCCTGGAACAGAAGGGATGCAGAAGAGGTTCATATGGCTGCAAAGGTCAACTACTGATAAATAAAATGATCCTGGAAAATTGCAGGAGATGACGTAGAAATCTTAGCGCAGCCTGGATTGATTAACGTAAAGCCTTTGATAGTGTTCCACATTCTTGGATCCTTAAGACTTTGGAAATGTACAAAGTCTCCCCTGTGGTATTAAATTTCCTTAAGCGCAGCATAGGAATGTGGAACACCAAACTATACCTTAGTCAATCCAGAGGCACTGCCATATCCAACCGTCTGAATATCCGACGTGGACTCTTTCAAGGAGACTCTCTGTCACCCCTTCTGTTTTGTTTATCCTTAATCCCTCTTACACATGAACAGAACAACAATAGCTATGGTTACAAAATAAATAAGAAAATATTCAATCACCTACTCTACATGGATGATCTCAAACTTTTTGCCAAAGACGGCAGTGAGTTGAAGGGCCTCCTCAATATTGTACAATACTTCAATGACGACATAGGTATGGACTTCGGATTAGATGAATGTGCAAAAGTAACATCCAAGAAAGGTAGAATTACAGACACACCCTTAATAGATTTAGATTTTGTCAAAAGATTAGGGAACTGGAGCATGATGAAGCTTATAAGTACCTGGGAATTAGCGAAGGAGATGGCATACAACACACCCAAATGAAGGAAAAAATAAGAAAAGAGTACTACAGGCGTGTACGTCTGGTACTAAACTAAAAAAATAAAACAGAATATCAGCTATAAACACCATGGCTGTCCCTGTGGTGCAATACAGCTTTAATGTCCTTAACTGGACCATAGCTGAAATTAAGCGAATGTACGCCAAAACGAGAAATCTTCTCACTTGCTACCGCATGCATCATCCCAAAGCTGATGTTGATCGTCTGTATGTGCCCAGATCCGTAGGAGGCAGAGGATTAGTTCAACTAGAACTGTCCTACAAAACTACAACAATTGGCCTCCAAAGATACTTGGAAACTACAGAAGACTGGATGATGGTAAGTGTCAAGGAACATGAAAGTAGTAAGCGTCTTTACTCTGAAGCCAACAAATTCAAAATGGAGTTTCAAATCGGCGTAGAGATGCAAGTACAGCACAACACACCGGCTGAAGCTGCAAAATACTTAAAAAAGAAAGCAAAGACAAATGCAACCGACCAGATTCAGAAACAATGGCAAAATAAACCGCTTCATGACCAATACTCTGCCTGTACCAAACAAACTGATGTAGATAAAACCCGTACCCATCAGTGGCTACGTAGTGCAGGGTTGAAAGCTGAAACTGAAGGTTTTATTCTTGCTGCGCAGGACCAATGCTTGTTAACTAGGAATTATCAAACCTTATACTAAAATATTGTGTTAGCCCAAAATGCAGATTCTGTGATAAATATCCAGAAACAATTGATCATCTTGTATCAGGTTGAATGGTATTGACAGCCAATGAATATAAAACCCGACATGACAGAGTGGGCCAATATCTGCACTGGAAAATCTGCAACTTCTACGGGAAGGAAACTGAAAGAAACTGGTATGAACACCATCCAGACCCGGTTACGGAGATAGGACCTGTTACAATTCTATGGGACTACACAATACACACTGACAGAACAATCAAGGCCAACAGGCCAGATTTTGTTATTAAAGACCACAAACAAAAAAATTGCCTCTTTTGTTGATATGGCAGTCCCTGCTGACTGCAATGTATCTTTGAAGATATTCAAAAAGCTGTCAAAATACAAGGACCTTGAAACAGAAATCTCAAAAATGTGGCATATGGGAGCATCAACAATCCCTGTTGTAGTTGGAGCCCTAGGACTGGTTGGAAAAGATTCCAGTAGATTAATTGAAGGGATTCCTGGAAGTCCATGCTTCAAAGAGATACAAAAATTGTTCTCACAAGTACAGCCCACACTTTACGAAGGGCTTTATCTAGGTCATTTTTTTTTTTTTTTTTTTGTCAGTGGAAAGTGTCATGGTGCCATTTCTAACCTTAGGTCTCTGGGCGGGACCCGGAAAGAAATGTGTAAACGCCAGAAATCAAAGGAAATAATAATAATAATAATAATAATAATAATAATTGAACCGGGAATAATCTGTAAAAAGCATGTCTCGAAAAAAAAAAAACGAGAACAGAACATCAACATCTCGGAAACCTCGTCTTCGTCCGACGGACGCACCTCGGTCGGACGACGGGCACCAGATGCTGGCCGCGAACGGACGGGAAACAGTGCCGACGATGCAACACTTTTCTTTCTTTTTATGTGCCATGTCCTTCCAGGACGTAGGCGGTCATGGCTCTCCACCTCTTCTCTATCCCTTGCAGCTCTCAACAAGTTCCTTCCCTCTGCCACCTCCACCGGACCACGTTCTGTCATCCACTTGCTTAAGCCCGCCAGGTATGTCATGCGTTGTTTTCCCTTGTCTCTCTTTCCCTTATTCGACCTGAGAGTATCGGATTCCCCAGGCCCTCCTTCCTCATTATGTGGCCCCGGAACTTCAGCTGCTTCTTCCTGGTGTTAAGCATAAGCCTCCTCCTTGCTTGCATCCTCTCTAAGATCTCATCGTTGCTCACACGCTCGGTCCACGATATCCTTAGCATCCTTCTGTAGAACCACATCTCTGTCGCCTCGAGTCTCTTCTTCATCTTTGAGGAAATCGTCCTACATTCGCTGCCGTAAAGAAGGACAGATGTCATGTAACAGCTCAGTGTTCTTTTTCTTTATTACCAAAGAAATCTTCCTATCTCGCAATAATCTGCCTAGCTTTTTGGCCACACACTGAGGTAGTTGTATCAGTTTTATTGGTGTTAAAGTAATGTGGAAATGTTACATTAAAATAGAATGTCTTTGTCGACAACAGTATAAATTTCAGACCGACATAAATTAACCAGTGCTAAGATAAGTGCCACAGTACACAGGATCCCTTTGTTGACCTGAGCTATCAGATTTGAAAAAAATAAATCTCCTTTCAGTGTGGCTGAGAGTCGCATTAAACATAGAATGTAATCATACCTTTTCTTTCTCTTCTACTGGTAAAACCCAAATCAATTAATAATAATAACAGACCTCTTTTCTTTTCTTTTTTTTTTTTACTGAAGATGACCTTTTCACAGATTGTAGCCTCTTAATTTCAGATCAACCAAGGTTTCTGTAATGACTCTTATAAAGACGTCGTTATCTAGCTCAAAATCTTAACAGTTTATGACGGAAGATTGGGTTTCAAGTCAGACATAAAATATTCAGTTCTCTAGACTCTTGAGGAGGCACGGATAGCAATGGATAGCGGCTCGGATTGGGGAATCGGAGACCTGAGTTCAAATTCCACTCGAATCCATTACATTCACTTACGTGCTAATACGCTTTGGAAAAATCCTCTTCTTCCCCTCCTATGGATAAATAGCAGGACAGAGTGGGGTTCTATAGCTTTAGATGAGAACTGGCCTACCCCAGAAAAAACTGGCAACCTACTGCAGGGAAAAAATCAGTCATGTCAGTCATGTATCGAAAGATCGCTAGCGCGTGTCTCACGCATGGCACATAACTGATCTATCTATCTATCTATCTATCTATCTCGGTCTATTTACATCTATTTATCTATCTCAGTCTATTCATATCTATCTATCTATCTATTACTGTCTGCTGATATCTGTCTATCTAACTATCTATCTATCTATCTATCTATCTCAGTCTGTTTGCATCTATTTATCTATCTCAGTCTATTCACATCTATCTATCTATCTATCTATCTAGCTATTACTGTCTGCTGATATCTATCTATCTGTCTATTTCTGTTTGCCGATATCTATCTATCTATCTATCTATCGATCTATCTATCTCGGTCTGTTTACATCTATTTATCTATCTCAGTCTATTCATATCTATCTATCTATCTATCTATTACTGTCTGCTGATATCTGTCTATCTAACTATCTATCTATCTATCTATCTCAGTCTGTTTGCATCTATTTATCTATCTCAGTCTATTCACATCTATCTATCTATCTATCTATCTATCTATCTATCTATCTATCTATCTAGCTATTACTGTCTGCTGATATCTATCTATCTGTCTATTTCTGTTTGCCGATATCTATCTATCTATCTATCTATCTATCTATCTATCTCGGTCTGTTTACATCTATTTATCTATCTCAGTCTATTCATATCTATCTATCTATCTATCTATTACTGTCTGCTGATATCTGTCTATCTAACTATCTATCTATCTATCTATCTATCTATCTCAGTCTGTTTTCATCTATTTATCTATCTCAGTCTATTCACATCTATCTATCTATCTATCTATCTATCTATCTATCTATCATAGTCTGTTCATATATGCCTGTCTATCTCAGTCTGTTCTTATCTATCTATCTATCTATCTATCTATCTATCTAGCTATTACTGTCTGCTGATATCTATCTATCTGTCTATTTCTGTTTGCCGATATCTATCTATCTATCTATCTATCTATCTATCTATCTATCTATCGATCTATCTATCTCGGTCTGTTTACATCTATTTATCTATCAATTAATCACAGTCTGCTGATATCTATTTATTGAATCCATTACGTGCTAATACCCTTGGAAAGGTATGAATCCTCTTCTTCTCCCTCCAGCTATGGGTAAATAGCAAGACAGACTGGGTTCTATAGCCTTAGATGGAAACTGGTCTACGGCAGAAAGAAATGGCAACCTATTGCGGGAAAAATCTGCCTCTCGAAAGATTCATGATCGCCTAAGCGTGTATCACGCATGGCACATAACTGTCTGAGACTCTCAGTGTATTTTAGATTGTGCTCTCTAAATTTGATTAGTAGCCAGTCTATGAGAAAGACAGTTCAAGACTGTTGCGAAGGCAACGGAAAAATCCATTCTGATATCTTTTCCAAGAATTCATGGTAATTCACAGATTTTATTTAATCATTTCACCCCAAGCACGACAATAAAGTCACTAAGACGCGTGTATTAGAGAGTATAAGAAAGATGTACTATTAAGAAGAAAGGACAATAAAAGAGCAAGAATTAAGAAGATAGAAGATACCGATTTACATTGCATTTAATTTTTTGAAAATCAATGTTGACTAGAAAGCAAGAATGTGGAAGAGAGTTCCACGAGCGAAAAATGCAATCGAAGAAACTATCAGCATAGAACTTACGGTTACATCTAGAGAATTCAACTGTAAAATGATGAGATTTTACCATCAATGTAGTACTTCGCTTAAATTCATAAATTCTATGCACAAGTGGGAGGTAATATTTATTTTGAATTATACAAAAATGTGGCACAAGACGAAAGGGGGCGATAGGGTGGAAGGCTGGTCTACAATATGTCTTATCTAAACTTAGCTAGCAACAATTACTGACACAAACATGCCACAGTATTCCTTACGCCAAAACAACACATTGTTATTTTTCATTCTTATTACAGTCACCATAATACCCCAGTGTCTCTATGAAGTCCTAACTAGGTCCGATATATACAATTTGTCTTGCGGTGGGGATAAAAATAACAACATTTAAAAATGAAAACCTTAGCGAAAAGTTTATCAGAACAATTACCATAAAGTATTTGTAGAAAAGGCAGAGGGAAGCTACATTACGGCGGTGGGAAAGTGATTGGAGTCGAGATGCCAGGTCAGGACTAATAACATTGCAGATTCTTCGTTGGGTTTAATAAATATAATAAATAAAAAGAAGAGCTATATTTGCCTATGTCTTGAAGCAGTGGTATAGTATTTAAAAACAAAAAGTGTAAGAAAATAAGGAACGCCCGAAATCTCTGGGTGTTTCGTTGCTCTGTTTTTTTTTTGTTGTTTTTTCTTTTGTGTGTGTGTGTGTGTGTGTTTTCCGAAAATTCCTGTATAGTTAGATTCGCCTGTGTTTACATTAAACCTACACTCAAATCTCAGCATTTAGTTTATTCGACAGCATATAAAGCGCACTTTTTCCACCCACCTAGAGGCGGGGGGCGTGAGCGAAAAAAAAATCGTCCTGTTTATTTATTTAGACTTGAGGTCCTTTCCTTAGTCAATATTTTGGCATTTACTACTTCGCGAACGAAGATTCCAAAAGATGCTTCCCTTCTGTTGCTTGCAGGTCGGATGATGAGACCAATACGAGACAAGCATCCTGCCACGACGGTTGTGTTAGAATCTTAGAGAAGCGAGTGAAACCCCGGTTTTATGGCTCATATTATCTCATCACCTCAACACTGGTTCTGCAGTTTTCAAGCCTGCTGACTATTCGCCATTATATTTCCTGTCGGGAGCATTCTTTTTATTCACTCCTTTACCATCTATGCCATGAAGGATAACGGGTATAGTGATTTACCAAGCGTACCTTAGATGTGGCACAAGGCCGAACGTATGAGGCACCTAGTGAGGATCGAACTCACTACTCAGTCGTAACTGATCTAACGAGCCAAGCTTGCTAACCATTACACCGCCTCGAGGTGCCCAATTTTCTAAGCCCGGATTAGATGTGGCACAAGGCCGAAAGTATGGGGGCGCCCAGTGAGGATCGAACTCCCTACTCAGTCGTAATTGATCTAGCAAGACAAGCTTTCTAACCATTACACCGCATCGAGATGCCCAATTTTCTAAGCCCGGCTTAGATGTGGCACAAGGCCGAAAGTGTAGGGGCACCCAGTGAGAATCGAACTCACTACTCAGTCGTAATTGATCTAGCAAGACAAACTTTCTAAACATTACACCACGCCAATGTACCCAAAGTTGGAAGTTTACTCCTGTAGTAGAGGTCTGCTTACAATACCAGGTGTTCCCAAGCGTTCCCCCATCTAAGTACTGACCTGGCACTACGATGCTTAACTTCGGTGATCGAACGAGAACCGGTGTTTTCGGCGTGATTTGACCGTAAGCAAGGATAACGGGTATAACTGCTGAGTAAATATGGGACGAAACTAAGTTTGGCACAAGGTTATATTTCATGAGATACAGCCTTAGAAATTATCTTTTAGCGAAAAGGACAAAGCGGGTCGTTTATCCGTCGCGATAAGTCTCCTTTCACAACAGACAAAATAACCTGTCCTTTCAATATCAGGTGATGGGTTACATACAACAATGTTAAACGCAAAAGCCGAGCTCCATGAAAGACAGGTAATCTTGTGCATGTTGTGTGATCGTCGGTGTATTATTCATTTAGTGCTCTTAAAGCGTAGTGAAACATCAAATGCACATTTATACGTCCAGCAGCGGCAACGTGTCCATAAGATTTTATTCGAAAATCACCTTTACGCCCGTTAATAAGAATGGTATTGTTCCCTTGCATGACAATGCAAGGCTTCATACATCAAGAGTAAGTGGATTAACTCAGAAGTAATTTGTGTTTTTGTGAATTATTCTTAATGGCGAATGTATCAACTATCCATTCTTTTAATATGTCTTAGCAGGTGATGAAAAGTGGGTTGCATACAACAATATTCAATGCAAAAGGCAATGGATTGACAAAGATAAATTTCCAGAGACGACCCCAAAAGCTGAGCTGCATGGAAGAAAGGTAGTGATGTCTGTGTGGTGGTTTCGACGGGGTTTTATTCATTTAAAGTTCTAAGAAAATAATGAAACACTAAATGCACATTTATACGCCCAGCGACTGCAACGAAAGATTGGTAGAAAAGCATCCTGCATATTTGTTATACAGTTTAGAGAGAACAGGAGCCAGTTCGGTATGACACGTATTAATGAGCATTACAGGGATACCGTCCGCTGCACATGCTTTGTGGGGATCCAGATAGGATATGATCATTATTTTCTTGAGTTACATGTGCTATCCATTTTAGCTTGTGATAGTGTAGCGCCAAGACCCCCAGGCTTTACTCACTCAAAGCCTTTTTAGATAGATAGATAGATAGATAATAGATAGATAGATAGATAGATAGATAATGAATAGACCAGCCTCCCCTCATCCCTCCTTTTGACCTTGTGCTACATTTTTGTATTATTCAAAATAAATATTACTTACCGCTGTGATACGTAGACTTTATGACTTTAAGCGCAGTACTAGATTGGCGGTAAGGTCTCACCAATTCGCAGTTGAATTGGCTACGTGCAACCGTAAGTTCTAGGCTAACAGTTTCTTCCCTAGCATTTCTCGCCCGTGCACCTCTTTTCCTGTTTCATTCTTTCAAACCAACTTTGATCTTCAAAAAATTAAATACAATGTCAATCGTCATCTTTTTTCTTCGTTTATTTTTATTATCCTCTCTCTCCTTAACAGTAATTTTTTCTCATATTCTCTAATACTTAAATAATTAAATTAAATGTAATGTCAGTCGTTAGCTTCTGTCACCGTAACCCGTGTTCTTTTATTGTCCTGACTTTTTAATAGCGTTTCTTTTCCCATATTTTCTCATACTCATTAACTCCATGCGTCTTAGTGGCTTTATTGCTTTGCTTTAGGCGAAATTATGAAGAATATTCATCAATCTGGTTATGACTAATGTAAATAAAGAGAGTGATTTTTTTTTTTTCATGGTAATTTTCCTGATGAACTTTCCTCTTTGGTAGATCGACTTTAAGAATTTAAGCGTACTACTAGATTGGCGTCAAGTTCCCGTAATTTTAAACTTGAAATGGCTACACCTAACCGTAAGTTCTATGCTAGCAGTTTCTTCTCTCGCACTTCTCGCTTGTGGATCTCTCTTCCGTCTTCATGCTTTCCAGTCAACATTGATCTTTAAAAATTTAAATTCATTGTCAATCGTTATCTACTTTCTTGATTACTCATCTATTCTTCCTTCTTCCGAATGTTTCTCTTTCTTTTTCTTGTTCTTCCACACTCAGTTATTCCTTGTGTCTTAGAGGCTTTACTGCCTTGCATGGGGTGATATGATTAAAAATAATAATAATAAAGCGAAGAAATAAAATGAAAAATAAATAAAAAATTACTTTCACTGTATTTACAGTACACAAACCGAAATAATGTACAAAATGTGGAACTGATTTTGAATTTGTTCCTTTCGCTTACTTCTTCTCTATATTACAATACTGTATGAACATTTAAGAATAAATTAGAAATCTTATAAATCGTGCAAAAGTAATATTAAAGCTATTTGAAGTTGGTTAGCACAAACCCATTACACTCGTAGGATGTGTGAAAACGTTTTGCGACCAAATCGCTGGAACGGATCTCCGGTCGTTAAGTGAAGAGGACTGTATACGTTTTTTTTCTTCTTCTTCTACTACTTCTTCTTCTTCCGAGAGGAGGTTAGCATGTTGCATAAATATTTATTTCCTTCTTATGAAAAGAATTATGGGAAATGTTTTGAAACTATTTTTTTTTTCGATGTTTATATTTCTTTTTGCTATCAACCAGTATTATGATCAGTTATAAAATTCTTGAATCCTTTTTCTTTTCTTTTTTCTTTTTTGTAGCTCGCATTATGTAATTCGGAAGTCAAGAAGGCGTTCTTATACGCGGACAGACATGGGCAAACGTGAGGGGGGGCGCGTTATCTGCATCCAGACAAGTACATCAATGGATGTACAGAGAACGACATATAAATTGCACATCCTAATTGGTTCCAAACTATGAAATTTTATGATACATTTGGGATTCAAAAGTAGAAATAATTAATTACTTTGTATATAAAGAAGTGAAAATTTCTACCACCTGGACATGAGTCTTGAAATTAATGGCGCCTGTTTTATTCGTTTAATGCTTTTTTCTGTCTATTTGCTTGCTTTTTTTCAATCAGATTTTCTTTCTTTCTATTTGTTCTTTATTTCTTTCTTTCTTTTTTTTTTCTTTCTTTCTTTCTTTATTTCTTTCTTTCTTTATTTCTTTCTTTCTATCTTTCTTTATTTCTTTCTTTCTTTATTTCTTTTTTTCGATTTGTCTTCTTTCTTTCAACCAGTTTTTCTTTCAATCTTCCTATTTGTTCTTTCTTTCTTTCTTTCTATTTCTTCTTTCTTTTTTCTTTCTTTCTTTCTTGCTTTCTTTTTTCTTTCTTTTTTTCCAACCATATTTCCTTCCTTCCTTCCTTCCTTTCTTTCTTTTTCTTTCTTTCTTTCTTTCTTTCTATTTGTTCTTTCTTTCTTTTTTCTATTTGTTCTTTCTTTCTTTCTATTTGATATCTATTTTCAAACCAGATTTTCTTTCTTTCTTTCTTTCTTTCTTTCTTTCTTGCTTGCTTTTTTCTTTCTTTTTTTCCAACCATATTTTCTTTCTTTCTTCCTTCCTTCCTTTCTATTTGTTCTTTCTTTTTTCTTTCTTTCTTTCTATCTTTCTTTCTTGCTTGCTTTCTTTTTTCTTTCTTTTTTCCAACCATATTTTCTTCCTTCCTTCCTTCCTTCCTTCCTTCCTTCCTTCCTTCCTTCCTTCCTTCCTTTTTTTCTTTCTTTCTTTCCCAAATTATTACTTTCTTTCTTATTTATTCTTCATTCAATTCTTAAACTGATCAACTAAATAGGTGGAAGTGTACGTCGTAAGATAACACAACGTCAGTCCTGCAAGCAAATGATATTTACTAGACACGGCTTAGTACGGCTCTAGTTTGCATGAATAGAACTGCGTATAGGAAGATTGTATTGCGTCAATCTTGCAAACGAAGTTTATACAGCGCCATGTCACATCAGATGACCTGTATGTTGAAAGATTGGGTCGTTCAGTCACGGAAGCTGATGAGATTTGCTTAGTTTTTTGTACGGAGGAAGACCAATTAAAAAGGGTCGCTTGTAATAAGATTGTGCTACGCCAATCATAAAAACTGATGATATGGTTAGCTTAGTATGGCACAAGGCCAAATAAAGAGAAGTTCTTCGGAGACAATTGATTAGATTTATCATACTCGCGTAGTACGACGTGTGGTCAAAAGCGGGGGGCTGCGTCTAGGAAGAATGGTGCGCTAGTCTTACAAACTGGTATTTACTATTGTTTGATGGCACAAGGCGAGATGGAAATTATATGAATCTTGGGGGAGGGGAGATTCCGAATGCCTCTTTGTGTTTTCATTCTATTTCATTTTCTCTTTTTCTTGTTCCTCCCACTTTTCTTCTTCTTCTTCTTTTTCTTCTTCTTCTTCTTCCTTCTTTTCTTCTATTTTAGTTCGTAATCTTCTTTTCCTTTTTCTTTCCTTTTTTCGTTTTTCTTTTCACCTTCTTCATTTGATTGCGGACATGTTTTTTTTCTATTCTTCCTTTTTGTCCTTCCAGCTTTACTCTTTTTTGTTGCCTTTTTGCACATTTGCTTTCTGTTTTCTTCTTCTTCTTCTTCTTCTTCTTCTTCTTCTTCTTCTTCTTCTTCTTCTTCTTCTTCTTCTTCTACTACTCCACTACGTACTTCTTCTTCTTCTCCAACATCTTCTTCTTCTTCTTCTTCTATCTTCATCATCTTCTTCTTCTTCTTCTTCTTCTTCTTCTTCTTCTTCTTCTTCTTCTTCTTCTTCTTCTTCTTCTTCTTCTTCTTCTTCTTCTTCTTCTCCAACATCATCACCTTCTCTTATATCATCATCATCTTCTCCTACTTCTTCAATTTCTTCTTCTTCTTCTTCTTCTTCTTCTTCGTCTTTTTCTTCTTCTTCATCTTCTTCTTCTTCTTCTTCTTCTTCTCCAACATCGTCACCTTCTCTAATATCATCATCATCTTCTCCTACTTCTTCAATTTCTTCTTCTTCTTCTTCTTTTTTCTTCTTCTTCTTCTTCTTCTTCTTCTTCTTCTTCTTCTTCTTAATCTTCTTATTATTATTATTATTATTATTATTATTATTATTCCTCACGTTTTTACTTTTTCTCTTTTCCTTACTTTTTCTTTTCTTTCCTTTTTCTCTTTTATTTATTCATTTGATTTAATTCATATTTTCTTTCTTCATTTCTCCTTTTCTTCGCTTTCCATTATTTTTTTCATATTCCATTATTTCGTTTCCTTATCTTCTTTCTTTGATATATTAGTTTTCTTTCTTTCTTTTTTTCTTTCTTTCTTTCTTTCTTTCTTTCTTTTTTTTTTTTTTTAACACTTCCCCACCTCCTTTTCCCCTGTTCTCACTTTACCTTCTCATCTTTTCCGGAATATTCTTTTTGCACTTTTTTCATCTCTGTCTTTTTTTTTTTTTTTTTGATCGTTTTTTAACATTGCATCTTTACCTCTTCCGTTTCTGCTTTTATACTTGCTTGAAATTCCTAACAAGGATTCCAGGTCCCTCTTTTCATAACGCCCTATGCTGGCATTACGTGCCTAAATCGCGGCGTTATTCCACGCTCGTAAAACTTAGGTTTGTTGAAAGACATAAAGCCACTCAAAATTTTTGCAGAGATTAAACATGTGGGCAATCTTTCTCCTTCTAAAGTACAAGGAACATCTTCGCCACGTCATAACTCTCGTAATCCTTTAGAAACGTTAGAGCAACACATGTATAGCAGTTGCGGCAGCAACGGTGGGTTTAGGGCAAGATAACCTGGCGAATCCCATCTCTCTCCAGGCTGTTTATGAATTCAAATAGCTCACCTTCTGTGTTAACTTCGCAATTAGGGGCATGCTTGCCCATTATCGCTGAAAGGTTTTCAATTGGGTTAAGGCCAGTACTCTGACTAGGCCACTGGAAGAGTTGCAATTTACCCTCGTCTCGCTTCCTCTTTAGATAACGTTTAAGGCAGTAAGGATCGTTATCAAATCATTTTTGATTTGTATAACGTACATGTGTACACCTGTATTAATACACTGCATTAACAGAGACCAAAACAAGGTAAAATGCACAGATAAACATATATCCAAAGGCCATCGCTTTATGAGGTGTATATATATATATAATAAAGAAACAATTTATTGAGGTGTATATATATATATAATAAAGAAACAATTTATACAAAGAATTAATTAGCAATGTTAAACTGACGAAATCACTTTGCTCACAAAACTTAATGAGACATTAACTTACTCTCAATTCCTTCGACAATAAGATCCTTATATTCGAGTTTTTATCACATGCCAAGTACTTTCGAAAATTTCAAATTATCATCTTCAGAGTACACGTTGCAAATCACATAACTCTGAATACATCGCAGAAACATGTTGTGATCAACAAACTACACGTTTGGTATGAATTTGCTCAGGACACACACAAACACAAACACACACACACACATATATATATATATATATATATATATATATATATATATATATAAAAGGACGGCTCTAGTTGTGACTCGAGATTCACGTAACACGATAAGACAACTTGAATCTTCAAGTCGTCTGAAGATGGCGTAGCGTGAAACTCGAATGACAACTAGAGCCGTCCTTTTATAGGATTTAACGTTAGTAAACGTTTTTTCCTTGGTCTAGGCAATCTAGGCTTTGAGCGATGTATTTTACTGAGTAGGTAAATTTGCTTTATGGGCTTTTTTTTCTCTTTCTTTTTTCAGTAGTGTCGTCTTTATTCGAGACGGTATCTGGATAAGTGTTTTGGCGAGCTGTTCGTTGGTTCCACCAAGGATATTGTTTTGCTTTAATAATGTGTATATATATATATATATATATATATATATATATATATATATATATATATATATATATTGAAAATAAGAAAATAAAAATTAAAATCTTTAGACACACTGGGTTGTAGATTAATATTCTTTCGTTTTTTTTATTATTATTCCATTTAAATTCCTCGACTAGTTTCGACCGAAATGGCCATCATCGGGAGGAGAAATATTTCTGCTTGCTGGTAGCAGTGAACTACAGAAATGAATGTCTTTTGCTGGAGAAAATGAACTTTTGTCTGTAGTTTTCATTTGTTTTTTTATTTTTTTATCTTTTTCCATGAATCTTTTAACATTCCTTGTGTTGGTCAAACAGTCTCTTTTAAGTTGTTATTTGAGATAAGAGCTGGATAGATACATATTATTCTGAATTCTCTGGTCAGTTTGACAGTTTTATTGGACCTGGTGAGGGGATATATATATATATATATATATATATATATATATATATATATATATATATATATATATAGTAAAAAGAAAGAATAGTAAGATTTATAATCCGCTGTTCTTGTTGATATTTTTATTTTTACAAAAGTGTGCTCAATGTAAATTTACAGAGCATTAATATCATAAATTAACTGATTTAAAATATGGTTTCTTCTTCGCTACACAGAAATTAACATGTTTTAGAAATTGAAGCTAAAACTTCAAATTTAATTATATAAATAAATTTGAAATTTTTAGCTTCGGTTTTTGTAACATGGTAATTCCTGTGTAGCGAAGAAACCATATTTTAAATCAATTAATTTATAATATATATGTGTGTGTGTGTATGTGTGTATGTGTGTGTGTGTGTGTGTGTGTGTGTGTGTGTGTGTGTGTGTGTGTGTGTGTGTGTGTTTAGGCAGCAATCCTCCTTTCATGCACATTACATTGAATACGACAAACAAGGTGCTTTTATTTAGTTTTTATGCAATTTCTTATGTGATTTAATATTTTTTCTTCTTTTCAGATGATAAATTATATAAAAACTGTCCGAATGTACTTTTTATCCGACCGCTTTCGGCTATACATATAGCCATTTCATTCGGGAAAGGTATGAATCCTCCTCTTCTCCCCCAGACATAGCAGCTAAATAGCAGGACAAACCTGGTTCTATAGCCTTGGATGGAAAGTGGTCTACCGCAAAAAGAAATGGCAACCTACTGCCGGGAAAAAATCTGCCTCGTCAGTCATGTATCGAAAGATAAATGATCGCGTAAGCGTGTATCACGCATGGCACATAACTGAATGACTAGATTGGCAGCTAGGTCTCATCAATTCACAATATTATTGTCCCTTACCTGGCACCTCGGCATCAGTCACTGTCCCACCACCGTAATGTAGGTTGCTGAGCGTTTACTATGAATACTTTCATGGTAATTGTTCTGATGAACTCTTTCCTAGGGTATCTAGACTTAATGAATTTAAGCGCAGTACTAGATTGGCAGCTAGGTCTCATCAATTCACAATTGAATTGGCTAGATGTATCCGTAAGTTCTAGGTTAACAGTTTTCTGGAACTTCTCACTTGGGAAATTCTCTTTTGGCTCCAAACATTCCAACCAAGTTTGATCTTCAAAAATTTAAATGCAATGTCAACCATTATCTACTGTCTTCTTGATTTCTTTTTTCTTTTTTTCTCGCCCCTTAATAATATTTCTATTTTTATTATTATTATTATTATTATTATTATTATTATTATTATTATTTCACACTCAGCAACCGCTTGTGTCTTAGCGGCTATAATGCCTTGCATGGGGTGAAATGATTATAAAAATATCAGAACGAGGCAACTGAAATTATTAGGACGCATAATTTGCAAGTAGGCTTGTGGGTAATTTAACACTTTAAAAAAATAAAATATATATAAAGAAAGAAAGAAAAAAGAGAAAATAGCATTTCTCTTTTTTCCTTTCTGTCTTTCTTTCTTTCTTTTTTTTATTTATTT